TGCTGATATATTTAAGAGTAAGTGTTTCTGGTGAGGGTTCACTTGAAAGGAGTTTTGGACCTGTGCCCCTGGATCAGTAATACAGTGTACCACAGATGTACAGTCATTATTTATTCATGACTTCTTTAAACATTAGTCAATTTACTACCATAAATTTCAACATACAGATTTAACTGAAAATGACAGTAATAATACTGTGCTGTGCATTTATCATAAAAAAATGTACTCACCTGCAATTAAAATAAAAGAAGTTACCTTTTGAATCCCAAGAATCTTGGTCTTCCAGGAAGGGTTCAGTCAAACCCCCCCCCCCTCTTCACATAAGACTCACCTGGCGTCACGTTACACTAAATCATATCGGGTCCATTCATCTCATGCCAAGACCGACTCGTACACATTCCTGGCGAGTGGTATAACACTTAAACGGGCTGCTTGTCACCAGTGTACCAGGATGAGTGACCTGTCAGGTGCAGGTAATTTATCTCTACATTAGCACCAGCCTTTGGTCAGGTGGTGTCAAGTTGTCAATCTTTCAAAGGAACTGCCAAGTGAGAGGCTGTAGATGTAAGGTGAGAGGAATTATGACCTCACATAACCGCTAGATTATGGGAGGGGGGCTGGAAGTTAGGGTAGGTGATCACATGAGCTGGCTCTGATGCAGATTCACCACACAAACGGAATTAGACATTTGCAAAATCGTGGAAAATTTTGACAGCAAGCAACCCAGATGGATGCTGATATATATGAAAATTTGTTTATTTAAGGGTAATTGTGAAGACTTTTTATTTGTCTTTTATCTGGCCCATCCGCATTCTTCTTAGATTAAACTACGAAGTCAAGATAGTCTTTCTTGAACCTTTTGTGTATGAAGTCCCCTCTGAGCTGAATAAAATTGTCTTGTGTTAGCCAAACCAAATATTAAAAGTAGCATTACGATGTTACTGGCAACAATTGGTGGCTGGGCCTGGCTGGTTGACTCAAGTAAGACCGTCATGACATGGAGATCACAGAAGAACCATGTACAGAGTATATGTAGTGTTAGGTCATTATGAGATTGTAACCGTAAATATTATTTACTCCTACTGCCATGGAAATTATTGAGTAATAAACATAGTTAAAAATTCTGCTACAGTTAGTTGTGGTGGAAATGTGAGAAAAGATTCAGTGTTTATTGTCAGGGCAGTATGACAAACACTTTTGTTTTTATTAATTTATGCTGATTTAAGTATTTAATGAGATGTGATCTTCTAATATACTCTACCTATAATGCCATGATACCTGTATACAGTATAGTACTGTACAGGAATGCATTGTGTTGTGTATCTGTGGAAGTCGTGTATTGTCAGTTAACAACCCCCAAAAACTGCGTTTGGTTGTATCAATTTACTTGTTAATGGTATTCTGTATGTACAGTTAACCCTCACTTTACGCGGTTAATGTAACCCGGAGGGTCCCGCGTAAAGTGAGAAACGCGTAAAGTGAATAACATAACATATGGGATTAATTGAAATGGAGTCCGGGCCGATCCCCAAACTCCACTTTTTGACAACACACAACTATGTTGTAGTAAAAATATTATCTTAACTTTATGATGGTATGCACACACAATTAATAATTAAGAGAAATATCAATAATATTAGGTTTTTAACACTTACATTAGTAGAAAAAATGGCTGGGCACACGGGGATGGGCGGTTGGTTCCGAGGCAGAGGGCAGATTATTGGCCCTCACCTGTGTCACTTGTATCAATTGTATCACTATCCACCACAGAGGCTTGCAGGGCCTCTTTGTCAAACTCCCCAAAGTCCATATAAGTCCATATCCTCACCATAATTATCACTATCACTGACTTGGGCCGGCTGTGGTGGGTGGCGGGTGAAGAACTGGTAATGTTTTGATGACTGGGCGACCTTGTGCGCACCATGTTCGCGCCGCTTACACAACATGGCGGATGGCGGGAGGTTTGGATCCAAAAATGGCGCGGCTCGCCAGCCGCTCTCCGCGTAAAGGGGTACACGCACCGCGGAATGTGAGCATCCTGGGTTCCGGCAGGGCACCGCGTAGCGTGGAAACGCGGAATGTGGGACCGCGTAAAGTGAGGGTTGACTGTATAAAGAAAAATATTTTTTTTCCATGCCAAAATTGTGAATTTTCTGTTCCTTTACCTTTTTCTTGTGACTTTATTTCTGTTCACCCAAAATCAGAACTCTCCTTAATAAAATCCTGGATCCACCCCAGGGAGCTATCCATTTCTTTTTTTTTCTTAAGTGGCATAAGGAAGAATGCCTAAGTTCAAATCTTTTCTATATTCAGCAAATAGAACACTATAATCTACTTATATTAACTGTATGGAGAGGGAAAACCTCATCAAATGTGGCAAAGAAGTGGAAGTTTGGAAAAACTGTTGAGCCGTCCTTATTTGATGGATCTGGAGCATGACTATATACAAGAGGAAGAGGTGCATTAGAAGTGACAGAAATGGTGTGCTTATAGAATACAGGTGCTCCTCTACTTAAGAACGTTCAACTTACAAACTTTCAGAGATACAAACATCATCACTGAGGGGGATTACCTGCCAGAACAGGTGCTTAATGTGGATGAGACTGAATTATTTTGAAGAAAATTACAGATAGAACAAACATTACCTAAGAGGAGAAGAGTGAGCCAGGTTTTAAGCCTGTTTTAAAGGGTACAGCTGTACTAAATATCCATAATCTTTTCATTTTTTACAATATGTTTGGTATCTACAAGAGTAAAGTTGGACTTACAAACAAGCCTCAGGAACGTAACTCGTTCGTAAGTAGAGGAGCACCTGTACTACTACATACATGGTGTAGATAGGATACAGGAAACAAATAATACAAAGATTATGAGAAATGGAAATGATATAAGTGTGGGAGATAACCAAAATGAAAGTTGAGTGAAAATTGCATTTAATTCAAAGGTGAATGATATAAGGCACATCGGAAAGACCAAGATGAGGAAGACCTACAAGAGGAAGAGGTAGACGGACATCCAGGAAGCAAAAGTGTGTGTGAATGACAGTAAAGTGCGGTAATGAATGGTTTATGGTTATCACAGCAGTAGGAGTACATAGATGACAGCATATGAAGAGAAAGTCAATATTTGCAGTGGGTTATGGTTACCCTGCAATATAGAGCACTTAAAAAAAGGAGAAATGGTCAGGAGTTAAAAGACAGCATGATAACAACTGAAAAGGAAGTGAATAGCTCTTATAAAGTACAGGCTATACTACAATCATCCCACTTAATTCAGTCATCACTCAAAAATTACATTAAACAATTATAATAGGATGATGTAAGCCAAGCACTCTTTCTCCCATACTGAATTCAAACCATTAATTTACACCAACACATACTCTAACAAAAGCAATACTGTAATTTTAGAAAGTATTTGATCTTTCACAATTTAAATGACAGTAGACATTATTCATCAACAGTGTTTACTTGTTCTATAATGTTTTTTTTTTTATCAAACTGCATTAGGCAATAAATATTCTAAGACATGAATTTTCAGCTACAGCCCTGCATAGTATTATAAAAATAGCAACCTAAAATGGAAGACCACTGGCAAGTTTAGTCGAAGTGGCATTCTCAACAGTAGTGAGCCTGATGTTTGACTCTATAGACTCCCCAAAAATACACATGCACATCAAGTGGTAATGATACCTATTAAGTTCCAAAATCATCCAACCAAATAGTTTGCAATTAGCCGTTTTGGGTTAACACACGGCATGTTTGCCAACAATAGGTTAGGGATGAAAATGAAAATATGATTAAATGCAGTACAGGTGATCCTCAAACATTCATAAGGCTAAGACCTTAATATTACAGTACTGCCAGTTATTAAAGTAAAGAGCATATGTACTGTTAAAACTAGAGTAAGGACTGGATGTGTCACCATGGCCTTCACAATGTAACCTATACCTTCCCAAATTAATGAGCATAAATAGTAATCAATATAAGGGAACTATTAAGATATGGAAGTTGGATACAAGATTGAAAAGGCTGGTGCCGGAGAAGCAATGGTAGTAGTGTTGGAAGAAGAGGGGCAGGAAGAACACAAGTTAGGCCCCTGATTCTCAAAAGTTCATGATAAATATTCTCATTATTGAAATTATGAAGAGTCCTAAACAACAAAAATAGCAGCCAAAATTAGAATCTGTATTACATTGAGGCTATAGTTTATGTAGATACAATATTTACTTAATACTAATTAGGAGACAAAATTAAAATCGAAAACCTTTTCCAGAGGATTCTAAACCTTAATTTCTCACCTAACTAGTGATCAGTGAAGGTATCTAGTGCAGCATGGTACAGGTATTCACGTAATTTTGATGATGTTTTTGTAGTTCAGCTTAAGCCACCCAGTCAGGTACATTCTTACTACTGTACTTAAAGTAATAAGAAACAAGCATTTACGAGTCTGATCTACTAGGTTTTTCAAGGACTGTACGGTAATAATGTTCTTTGTTAAGCAGTCAGCTGATGGTTATCAAACATTTTCCAATGAACACTCGTTCTATAATGATGAGTCAGCAGCATCTGGACATCACTCAAAGATTGGGTCACTGTCCTGCAAAACTTTTTAGGATTTTAGTGAGATTTTCAGCTAATATATGTGTGTGATTCTAAAGAAATAACAGAAGTGAAATTCCCCGAGCATCTCTCAAAATTTACACCACACAACAATTAAGAGCAGTACTGGCTGCAAGAACGCATGCACACAGTTTAATGCTGCTGCTCTTGGCTGCATTACCACTACGCTCTTTATCTATCTACAGTATCTGCAAACCATCTCTTTCTAACTCTGCAGGGGGGCAAATAATATATCCTCCTGACTTTTGTAATATGTTTCATGAAAAGGTTATTCCCACACCTGTTAGAATAATAATTTCTTACCTTTCACAGGTACAGTTCTATTCATTCTGTTCATTGCTTACCATTAAAAAAAAAATGATGGGAAAATAAGCACTTCAATTACCTCATTGAGTTTTCTTCCTTACATTATTTCTAAAAGGCCTTACACACCTGCTGAACATATTCTATACATCAGTCAACATTCCAAGTGTAACAGATGAAAATGTAATTTTAAAAATAAAATGAAATGAAACCATGTGATATTTGTCAATAATATTACAAGCATATTGTATGTCTTGTAATTAAAATGCTTCATGAATTAAAGTAATTCTGGGTGATTGAAGAAATTTTTAAACCCTAAATTCATGGTTATTAACAAAAAGGAATGGATCAGCAAATTTACACAACTATTTTTTACTGCACGTTCAAATACGTTTTATATGAATAAGCATGAAATAAATTTAAAATTAACTGCCCTTGGTGACCAATGATGAAATGAAATGACATTTTTACCATACAAATTATCTGAGAATGAACAATCACAAATGGACATCAGATACTAAGAACTGCATTTTTTTTAATAACTTTAAAAATGAGAACCACAACACTAGTTAAGTTAATGAAACTGTACATAAATGGTTAAACCCTAAATTTCAGTCCAAGAAATTACTTCCTATATATACCCCAAATTTTCATACTGATATTATCCTTTTCTTTTTTACCATGAAAGAAAGAAAACTGCTCACTTGAGATATTGCACACACTTCACTCTTACCGAGATGAAACATGTCACTAATGAGTTTTTACACTTGATTTGTAAAAAGTACATGGCAATCTTACCTTCCCAGGTATGATATTCCTTGTATGAATATTGTACAGTATTGCAATGGCAGTAATTCTAAATGAGTGGTACTTTCATACCACATGACAAGCACCGTCAACTCAAAAATTGTCTACACTATATAATGCTGTCAAAATTCTCAAAGAGTCAACAAAGTTCTTTTCCAGGTGTTTACCATTCACTAGTCCAATAACTATCTTTATAGTCTCCCTAAGCACAGATTCCTCATATTAGTCCTTTTTTCTTTTTGTATTCTTCAAGGTTTAATGATCTCTTAGGAGCTGAACCAATGGAACTACCATTTGTTGCATTACCCAATGTTTGTCTTGGTCCAACAGGTGCAGATGCTGTGAAATAACACAAAAGTATGTTAGCATTCAAAAGGTAATCTTCTTTTAATATAAAAACAAAAAAAATTATCCTGAAATCCCATTTCATAATTGAACACTAACATTGGTGGCTGGGATTATTCCAAGAATAGTTCACATAACAGAGGCTGTAAGAGACCATGCAGCATGGTAAGCTGCCATCAGGTAATCATGGTTAACCCAGACAAGCATGGAGGCAGTAAAATGGGGATGATGAAACTAACATAAGATTTCGGGACTAATCCTTCATCTGAGGCCTGACAGCACTATTGCTCACCTGTAAGTGATTTGTAAGGGCTTATTTGGATATTGGTGATATCACAAATATTGATTGTCTCCACATGATAAATGTTTTGAATCAATTTGTAAATAAAAACAATAATTTTTCATTACAATTACATGAAAAAAATACAAAAACAATCAGACGGCTTTGGAGCACATGTCGCTTTGGCATGTTTTGCATCCATATGGCCAACCAGTTCTCCATCTTGTGCATTACAACACTCCTTGAAGTGGAATACACAGAAGCTCTTTTCTTGTCTTTATTCTTCAAAATTGTTCTAATCATAGACAGCCAAACCCAAGCTCTGATCAATACTAGCCTGATGCTCACCTTATAACCAGACTGATGCTTTTCCTTGACTGCCTGGTCACATTACCAACACTATCACCTGCAGGCCTTTTATGAGACATTAAGGCCCCATTGGGCTCACAAAATTAAGCAAAAATAAGGAAAAATAAAGAGCTACTACAGCACAGTAAACATAAACGTGAGGGTATCATTCAAATCTGGAGGAGTAAAGAACTGATTATATTACCTGAGTATTGATCAGTAATCTTTATTCTCATTGGCTGAACACACAGCTAAGATAAAATAAGAGACTGATGTACGTTTCCTGTTCTAACATGGGACCTTTGAACTGCTTGGCAAATTTAATATATTTTGGGGGGGTTTTAGAGAGAGAGAGAAAGACAGGGGAGATAGCATTATCACAAAGCATGTTAGTCAAGGTGTCTCTATATAAATACTTCAAGGCAACAACACATACAGAAAGGAACAGCTGTCATGGCACTTATAAATTAACAGATGACATAAACATCAGACAAGCATTCTTGCCCTTACCAGGCATAGAGACATCTAAGTCAATTTTAACATCAAAATCATGGGCAGCAAACAGATCTTCAGCTTGCACTCTTTTACGTTCTTCATCTTTTTTCTTCTCTTCATCCTGTTTCTTTTTGGACACTTCCTCTTCCTGAAATATTAAAATCACAAAGAATTTTCAATTTACAGACATGATTTGAATTATTAACCTACTGGAAAATAACACATTTGTAATTGTATACCAGAAGATAAGATTAGTTTAATGTCTTCAACAATAGGAAAGAAGGAAAAGGTTCACCATTTATATCACTTCAGCATTAGAAAGAAAAGGGTATTACCTCACTTCCGTCTTTACTGCAGAAGACAATGATTCAACTGCTTTACAAAGTCCTGATAATAAGCGACACAAAACTGAACATTTAACTGTTTCATTAATAACATTACAACATATTTATACCTTGACTGAAATAATATATTCTTATCACTATACTGTAGTAACATTTGACTGCCTTTGATGTAAGACCTGCAACTTTACAAATCTCTTAACAACATACTAACTATAACTATCACTTTTTCCTCCTATTCTAGTTACTAATAACATCATAAAGTGAAAGAAAAAATGTCTGAAAACAAATCACTTCTATTTACCCTTTTCTTTTTGTCATCATCCATCCTCCTTTTTCTCTCCATTTCCATTCTTATTAACATTTCTGAGGACTGAATTTCTGGCTCTCTGGTCTTGGTCACCATCGTTGGACGAGTTGAGCGTCTAGTGAAGGGGTCTTCAACTTTTAAACCTTTCTTAGCTTCAATTTCTGCCTGTAATTAGACACAAACAGTATTATTAACTTAACATGTATCATTACAGACATAAATTGGCATGAGTTGAGCATACAAGTATACAAAAAATTAGCTAATCTACTTGTGAAAACATGTTCCATCTTCACTAAAAAAATCTATGTTATTATATGCTGACTATAACTTGAGTCATTTTATAGGAAGTGTCTTTATACTGTATATGTGTACATTTTACAAACACATAAATACCTGTAACCAGTATATAAGACCATCAGTATTTCAATGCACTTTCATATTACTGTAATGCTAATGAATAACCAAAGAGTGTAAGGCAGTAGAAATCTGGATAGGTTTACATCTACTTGAGGATTTTCACTTACCATAATGGCCTTCTCTGCTTTCTCCACATTATTTTTTCTATTCCGTTCATTAATATACGAGATTGCTGCAATGGTCTGAGTTCTTCGCTTGTCAAGGCTATTTGCTTTTTCATCAAGGTCTGCAATTTTTTCATTGAGCTTCTCCACCGTCTGTAAGTACAATTTCACATGAATACAGGCAACAATAACAACTAACATTCTCTTTTCAGCTTAAATCAATGGGAACTGGAGATGAGAGAAAGACAAGGAACAGGAAGCTTTTACTGAAAGATGATCATGTGTTCAGCCCCAGAAATTTCATTATACATCTGAGTATAATAATAATAAAGATGAAATACAGTCTGTAGAGTGAGTTGTGGTTTCCCTTTGTTGCCCTGGAGGTAGAGTGTGACATAAGGGTGTTGGTCCTACAGTACAATATCCCTGAACTTTTAAAGGAGGCCACATTACCTAAAAACAGTATAGTGCAGTACACTATACTACACTTCAAGATACCAAAATGCAGATGTTTAAAACTCAAAACCAACTGATTGTGGCAAAGTAAGAACTTGTCTGGGAAAGAATAGAGAAATAAGTTTCCTACGATATTTAAAATTAAATACAGATAATTCAATAAAGTATAACTGGGTGAGCTCATTACCCAAGCTAATGCTAAATCATACACCGTAGTTACTTACTTCATCATCACCTTTCTGTTGAGCCATATCTTTCTCCTTCATCAGTAGAGTTTTTGCCACTGCAAAGTTGGTGGGATTATGGTTGAACCGCGCCTTCTCCTCCACTATCTGATGATACAATTTCAAGAAATCTGTTTTAACCATGGTCACATAGAGCCTGGAATTATCTCACAATTAATGTATAACAGTATCATATATGGTACAGTATGCCTGAGGGTGGACAATTGAGAATGTTCCTTCTACAGTATACCAAGGCTAATATCATCAATTTACACACTTATCACCATAATTTCACCTCTTTATGTATCAACAATGTGTGCCAAGCAATCACTGAAGTACACTTCATTTATTCATCCTGATTCCCTGGACTACTATTCATGTAAAAATACTTTCTCAAAATAACAACATTTCTTTATTAATGAATTCTCATTCCTGTTTACCCCTAGATTTTCCCAATTCTTGGATTATATACCCCCTTTACCCTAATTCACTTAACTGGGTCTACAGTAGGTCAGTAAAACATCAGAAATTTCTCCCTCACTTCTAAACACAAGCATCTGTCTTTTTCTTTCAAGACCAGTGCAAACATAAAAGACAAAGTGATAATGCCAAACCTACTTTGTCAATGTCCTCACTGCTAAACTGGTAATACAGTAAATCTTGGACATCCTTCTGTTTTTGTTCAACATGTTCCATACTTGGAAGATCTGTCCCATGTGCTGCACAGTCCTCTACCCACTTATTGTACTCGGAGTCTGAGAAGACGCTATTACTAACAAATTCTAGACGGAAGACTCGTTCCTGTGACCCATGTCTGTGGAAAGGAGCAGGAATTTTGTATACAGTAGTTAGACACATTAAATTTCAATTCTGAGAGAAAAAGTGTTTTGACCTTTATTACTACAGTCGGCCCTTAACATACTCGGGTTTAGCATACACGGATTTGCAAATACGCGGATTGCCCCGCCGGAGGAATATTCTGTACATTGAAGTTATTGAAATACATTCAAATCGCGCGCCATTCAACCCACTGTACATTACGTTTCAACAAAACTACCATTTATTTCTGAGAATATGGAAATGTAATATTTTTGCTGAGATGATGTACGTATTACAGTGGAAAGTGGGATAAAATTGTGACAAAAGCAATGACTCTCTTTCTTTCGTTCAAAAGACGTTACCGTAATCGCTTTTCGAATGGTTTTCAGTTGTGGGATTATAAGGCTAATGATAGGATAGAATATTATTGTAATACAGTACGAGTACAACAGTTTTTTAACTGAAAACCATTCGAAAAGCGATTACGGTAAAATCTTTTGAACAACGAAAGAAAGCGAAAGTCATTGTTTTCGTCATGATTTTATTCCGCTTTCCACTGTAATATGTACGTCATTCCAGCAAAAATATTACATTTCCATATTTATTTCCGAGAATATATTCATTCAGTCACAGTTAAGGTAAAATATACTTGTGATGTAATATTTTAATGAAAATACGGTATCGTAGTTTTCTTTTGTTTCAAATTTAATTAACAAAGATTGATGTTTCAAATGTAATGAACAAAAATTTATGTACAGTATCTATAAATACACTTTAATAAATGAATACTTTATGTTTTACATCGTCCTGTGCTACCATACCATGGATTTGGCTACTTTGGGCTTGCTATGATGACGCAAGAGATCTGCCCTAGCAACTGTACCGACACTCACAGCTGGTGGTGTGTTGGTGTGTCATTTCCATTGTTTACTGGTAGTTACTGGTAAATATTTTTTAACCTAACGAAACTATTACCCGTTTAGAGGTCGACCCCCATTTTTTGCCAAATAATTTGGTCTTAAAAACTTGAACTACACACAGGTATATACGGTAAATAAGGACATGGGAGGACCAAGTTTTTTTGGGGGGGGGGGGCAGCACATATACGCGGATTTTTAACATCCACGGGTATCTCTGTTACGTAACCCCCGCGTATGTTAAGGGCCAACTGTACTTTTGTGTAACAATTGGTTAAACTATTTCTGACACCATAAACTCAACCATCTTCACACTTATCTCATAAGAGCTAGACAATGAAGGACAAACTCATGAGGAACAACACGAAGACGAAACAAACCACCAAGCCTCCTCACTGTGTCAAAGTGGTAAATTAAATATACAAGATGCCATCCATAAACATTCACTATTTTGATGATAATTATATCATTATTATGGCATATCATGACTGCCTGAAACTCATCATAGCCCTAATTATTTATGCACATATTGTATACCATTTCTACTCTACATTCATTCTTTAGATAAAGACAATGAAAATAACTCACTTTAGACGTAGTCCTTTGTTGGTTCTAGTATTACCCAACTGATAAATTTTTGCAGTTTCACACACTTCTGTGATTTCTGCAACCTGAAGAGTAAGATATCTGATTTGCATGTGTACTGCATATCTAACATACAATAGGAAACTTTCAATTAAAATGAATCTCATATGAGGCAACTTCCTGTAAACACTTCACTGAAAATAAACATGTACAGAGTAAACAATTTCTGTATGCTAATGCATAAAACTTTTCATTTCTGATAATGGCACAAAATCACCAAAAAATAATAAAAATAATGTTCATAATGAAGGACAGAAATAAAAAGTACCAAAAGAGGAGCAGAAAATAGTGCCACTGGCACAAACTTAAGGTGAAGGAGTTTGCAAGATACAAAGCACAAAAATCTTAAACTCTGCTTTGACTGTATGTCACAATCTCAAATACTTAAAGGTGTGGTGATCTGTGGTTGTAGTGTAGATGACTCTACATGTGGCCAACGCTCAAGTCCTGAGAGGAGCAAGGTGTTAAAAGAAGATACAAAATAAGCAAATCTACATTTATTTGGGAAAGGAATTAAAATAAGAACAAGCATGCATTATATTGAACTGTCTAACATTTTCATGGCTGGTAAAAATGAATTACGTATGTATTAAAAGTAGGAGTGAGTGATGGGGGCATCTATTTAAAGAAATGAGGCCATGATGATTTGGTTATGAAAGTAGTAGTACAGTAGATTCTTGAGGAGGACTAACTCAGCTTGAACCATAATTTAAACAAAAAGTACATAAATAAAAGAGTATTAAGATTAATCTTGTTAATACAGTAAATCAACCTGGTACATATATGAAATGAATAGATGAGTGAAATGATGCATCTTATTACATATCTCTTTTGTAACATTAATGCCTAATCTAGACATAGGGATTAATAATGAAGCTGGTATAGAGGAAGTGAGAGCCATGGCCACTGAAGGTACATTAAAGAAACATGGCAAACTCTGTACCATATTTTGGGCCAACCTATACAACATGGAGCAAACATACTAGTTAAATGATAATTACTGTACTTTTATTATACATACAGAAACAGGAATTATTGAAAGTAATAAAGGCAACTAAATAGATCAGGGCAACGTTATTATCAAAGTAAAACAACAAGCACAGTGAACCCTCACTTTAGCGGTTAATTGAACCCACAGAGGCCCGCGTAAAGCGAGAAACGCGTAAAGTGAACAACATAACATATGGGATTAAATGAAATAGAGACCGGCTGACCCCCAAACTCCACTTTTTCCGACACAACACCTATGTTCTAGTAAAAATAACATCTTAATTTTATGATGGTACATGCACACAATTAATACTTAAGAGAAATAGAGAAATACAGTCGCCAAGTTAATGTCCATTCAAATATTGAACTCAACTCCCTCCCCCTCTTCTCACAATCCTGGCTCTTCCCTCTCTGAAAAATGTCTGGGAGAAAACCACTAGATTTTAAGGTACAGTGGTCCCTCGGTTAATGAACACAATCTGTTCCAGCAGGTTGTTCGTTAACCGAAAAATTCGTTAACCGAAACCATTGTTTCAATGGGTTTTTGGGTAATTGGTTCCAGCTCACCGAAAATTGCCTAAATTCAACAAAAATGGTAGAAAAGTTCACTTACTTTGAGGTGTGTATGTAGAAGGCTCCTGGATGATGATGATGATGGGAATTAGAGTGGGGGTGGAGGAGAAGGGAGAAGAGAAGTCACCCCATGGCTCCATTTCACCAATAAAATTTTACTTCTCTTGGTGTATTTCAAGATTATTTTCTTTAAATCAACACTGCACTGCATTATATATTGTCAATATGTAAAATATATTTCAAAATGACCAATAATTTGCTTGGAAACACGGAAAAAAGCGTTTAGTTGAAGAGAGTCTCAAGCAAGATGTTACCTCCACTGAAAACAGAGAGAGACTAACGCCTGTCTGGTGTGTTGCCAGGCTGGATGGCACGCCAGAAACTAGTTTCTTTACCTTCAATTATGTTCAATAATTGTTAAAATGACTAAAAAAGTTAAAATTAAACTTTTAAAATTATTGAATAGTATAAACTTCTTGATATTTACTAAAATAGTAAGGAATTTAAGCCCTAGAACCGATTAATGTATTGGCGGACTAATACTAAAGCTGGTTGACCGGCCAGTGCAAGCGAAAACATGTTGAGGTCGGTTCGTAAGAAATTCGTTAACCGAATTTTTGTTCGTTAACCGAATTTAAGAATCTTATGGGAGGCAGTTCGTTAACCGAAATTTCGTTAACCGAGGCATTTGTTAACCGAGGGACCACTGTATAGTAATAAATAATACCTCAAACTAAAGTTAGGATAATATAATTGACATTGCTGGATTCCTTGTAAGACAGGAATATTTTGAATATAAATTTTTTATATTTTACACAAAAGATAACATATTTACTAAGAGTAAACAAAATACTTAAAGTAGATCTAAAATTTGTATGTCTAATGCAAAATCTATGATGTTTATATTCAAAATGATCATCAAATTGTAAGAATTCCAGCAATGTAAATTATATTCTGGCTGGGTAATTTGTATGAATTTTATGAGCTAAAACAAATATCTTCAGTTAATAAAAAAAAAAAATATTCTTCACGGCACTATCTGTCAATCAAAGTACAGTACCCCACCTTGCCTCCCCCCCTCTTCCAACCTGCCAGATGGTCGGTTGGTCCCTCCCTCCCCCCCACCCCCCACCAACCCTCCCTACCAGAGAAATGTGTGGGAGAAACCAGAATATTTACCTTTTTAGTAATAAATAATACCTCAGACTAAAGTTAGGATAATATAATTGACAATGCTGGATTCCTTGTAAGACCAGGAATATTTTGAATATAAATGTCATATATTTTGCACAAAAGATAACATATTTACTCAGAGTAAACAAAATACTTAAAGTAGATCTAAAATTTGTATGTCTAATGCAAAATCTATGATGTTTATATTCAAAATGATCATCAAAGTGTAAGAATTCCAGCAATGTAAATTATATTCTGGCCCGGTAATTTGTATGAATTTTATGAGCTAAAACAAATATCTTCAATAAATAAACAAAATATACTTACCGAAATACTGTCTGTCAATCAAAATACCCAACCTCCCCCCCTCTTCCCACCTGCTCCCTGGGTCCCTCCCTCCCTCTCTACCCCTCACCCCCACCTTCCTTCCCTACCAGAGAAATGATTGGGTTATAACAGTATATTTACATTTTTAGTAATAAATAATACCTCAGACTAAAGTTAGGATAATATAATTGACATTGCTGGATTCCTTGCAAGACCAGGAATATTTTGAATATACACTTCATATATTTTGCACAAAAGATAACATATTTGCTCTGAGTAAACAAAATACTTGCATTAGATCTAAAATTTGTATGTCTAATGCAAAATCTATGATGCTTATATTCAAAATGATCATCAAATTGTAAGAATTCCAGCAATGTAAATTATATTCTGGCCGGATAATTTGTATGAATATTATGAGCTAAATAAAAAAATTATACTTCACCCGCGTATATGAGTAGATGCACCACGTAAAGTGGGAATTCCGGTTCTGGCAGGGTACCGCGTAAATGTAGAAACGCGTAAAGTGAAACCGCGTAAAGCGAGGGTTCACTGTAGATGAAACTGCTCAAGTTCAAAAGAGTGTTGTGATATTTACAGTACTTGATCAATGTATCAAAGTGATAAGATTAAGAATACCCGAAGAAGACAGTCAATACAATATTGATACAATGAACTTCATGTACAATGCGTATAGTTCAAAGTGTGATTTACTTACCCTATAAACTGGTCGTCCTTCAAAATTGCCAATACCTATTCTAACAAAGCAACCTATAATGGCTTTGGAAAATATAGGCAGATGAACAAAACGTTCCATCTTATGGCGCGAGAGACGAATTTTTTCAAGGTCTTCCTTGCAGGTCACATTTTTGGGTCTTTCATCCCGAGAACGATAACTGTCCTTCGATCTGTAGAAAAGAAAAATTACAACATTTAATAAGGAAAATTTAGAGTTTATTTTTTCTAAAACAACAGCCTGACATTCATTACTGTGTCTGTAAAACCAGCAAGAGCATATAATATTAAAACTTTACATGACTGATCTCATTTGAATCCTAAAACCAAAATGTGCACTGCCTAACCAAACTGTAATGTATTAGTTCTACAATAAAACCAAAACAACACATGCATCTTAACTCACAAACACAGGCATGAAAAACAAGCAGTCAGAGGTACCAGAGAAAAATATATCACCCCTTATGTATCCAGAGTCACACTTGAGATTTTCCAATATTGTTTTACAGCTTGTGTTGCACAGCTCTCCCCTATCATCCCCTCCCTAATGTCTGATTGAATTTTAATATCTTGACCTACATCCACACAGATGAAGGAGAGGAAAACAGAGATGATATAGGTATTTTACAATTGTGTTTTTATTGCTGTTTGCACAAGTCATTAAAAATTGTCAATGGCCATATTCCACCTTCCAGTTAAAATAACCTTACCAAATGCTAACCAAAAATATCTTCATTTGCATCTCAGGCTGCAACACCCAACTTTCCTTGATCAGTTGCCTTACTTTTACTTACAATATCTACATTCATACTGCCTAACACTACAAAGCTCTGTTCCTCACACATCTTTGGATACAATTATTCAACTAATTCCAAAACTTTTTACAATAGAAAGTTTGAGTGTCAACAAACAGGACGATTAAAAAGTACTGTATAAACAAACAAATAAAACAGGTATAAAAAAGTTCTAATATATTTCTATATTCAGTAAAGTCTAGGTGGAGCTTTATACAGTACTGTGCTATACAGATTTTACACAGCTTTAAATTCTACCGAAGGGTTTGTTGTACCAAATGTAACTGGTGAAACAATGAAGGACAAAAATAAAACATAAATGGCAATAAGAAAAACAAAACAAATATTAACTCAAGAGTATCCCAGCATGTTCAAAATATTATAGTTCTATAGTTCAGTACATTAGTCTAGCAAGTCTAGGATATCTACATTTTCTTACTGCTTTATGACAGTACTGTGCTATCACAGATTTTACACAGAGTTATAGCCGGACTTCAACCTGTAATTCCAAAACTTTTTACAATAGTGGAAAGTTTGAGTGTCAACAAACAGGACGATTAAAAAGTACTGTATAAACAAACAAATAAAACAGGTATAAAAAAGTTCTAATATATTTCTATATTCAGTAAAGTCTAGGTCTAGGATATCTTTTTCTACTGCTTTATACAGTACTGTGCTATACAGATTTTACACAGAGTTATACAAGCACTTTAAATTCTACCGAAGGGTTTGTTGTAATCCAAATGTAACTGGTGAAAGATATGCAATTAAAATTTTAAAGAAGGACCCTTAGCAGAAATCATTAATTCAAATCATAAATGGCAATTTTTTTAAGAAAAACAAAACAAATATTACACTCAAGAGTATCCCAGCATGTTCAAAATTGGTTATTATAGTTATTCTATGGGAGTGGAACACAACAAGTCATCAAAATCAACTACTTACCAACACCTCATAATTCTTCCTAATATTGTACATTAGTCAAAGTATTAAGCAAGTTAGTCTCTCTAAAAAAAAGTCACCAATGTTAGAAGTCATGCCAAACGGCACTACATCAACTACCTGCCAAATTTGTTGTTCTTAGGTGCGACATCACTGTCACTGGAATCACTAAAAGATGAAGAGGAAGAAGAAGAAGAGGGAGAAGAGGAAGAACTAGAAGGTAGAATCTTTTGCTCTACCCTCTTTGCCACCTTTGTATCAAGTTCCTTTGATGGCAGTTTTGTTGCAGCTCCACCAATGCTTGGCTTCGCAGGTTCTCCACCACATGGGCTGATTACCACCACCGACAACATCATCAAAATTCAATAATATTCTCTGGGAACTTGTTTTGCACAACTATTTTATAACTAAGCTATCTTGACTCACTTTGTGAACTGAGAGAAGGAAACTTCCTCGTACTCCAAAGTTATGAAAAATATCCTAATGAACCTCACTGTTATTTTTGTAGGGCGTCTATGACTAACACCATTCTGTATCTTAATGGTTTCCTGAAATAGTTATATACTATTTTTAATCCCATCCACACAGCAAACTAAAACTGTGGTTCTTCATACCACACCCAACAATACCTTTATACCAGTTTTGGTTTAGGCCAAAATACTAAAACAAGACTGACTATCTTTTACGTAGGGTACGAACAACCTAAAATAAACTATAATGACTGCACAAATATGTTTTCAGGTCCCTGTTTCTCATTTGTTACACTAATAGCCTTTAGACAGAATGCAGTGTTGAGCCCACCCTTTTTTAACCACACTATAACTTGATTTAAATTTAATTTACCAATTACTGTATTTCTGGTTTGATTAGGATGGTCTTCCCCAATCATAAAAAGTAGCTATGTGTGGGGAGATCATAGGAGCTTACTAATACATACAGGTATTACTGTATCTCTCTTCAGTTCTACACACAAGGAGCCAATGCCTTCCTACATTCCTGTGCTACAGGAGCTAAAGTCAGGTAACTGTCCTTCACTCCTCCTTTATTTGTTAGGGGATACTGAATCAGTTTCTCTCTACATTTTATCACAGAGATTATTCCACACCTCTGTGACAAACACCACCACAGTGATGTTTATTATGGTGAAGTCCAATTTCAGTGTCTCATCTTTATGGCCATACTGTATTAGTAAATTTCATCATACTTAGGCACAATAAACAATTAGGATGTATTAATTTCTAGCGTGTGTCAATTTCAATATGTAAAATATCAATTATATCGTAGTACTGAATGGATAAAGAGCGTCAATATCTGTGAGTAAAATATCAGGTTTATAGTTTAGTGTACTGATCTCTTAACATAATTGAATCTGAAGTTATAATTATCCCTGGCTGATCTTACCAGTACAGTATACTGTATCATAAAATTCTACCGCGTTATCTATGTTTTGAATCATGTAAGTTATGGTTTAACTCATAAACCAAAAAATTTAATGTAAAAAAAAAAATTAAATAAATTAACACACCTGTACTGTATTGGTTAAATAATTATATAAAAACCAGGCCAAGTGTAAGGCATCTGGAGTCATCATTCAGTACAAAAACCCACTACTGCAACACTGTGTCACAAAACAGTAAGATATATCAGGAATACAATAAACCCCCCCAAAAAACCAGAAAAGGCACAATATTCCTATTTTTCCCGATAGGATTATGGTCACTGAGTAACTATGGTGACCATATCAAAACAACTACCGTATAAGGACACATGAACAATATACACCAGGTGCTTACTATATTTTAACAAACAACGATCAATCATTTGGTGTTTCTAATTTCATGTTGAAACTGAATTAATGTGAAATTAAATTTATATAATTTTATTTCATTAGAAAAAAAATTATGTACGATATTTTTTTTTTACCAAGAAGCACATCTAATTTACAGAAGGATCACACACCAAGGCTGCACCAAGCAATTAATTACTTTTATAGGGTTAATTTTACTTTCAAATTACTGTAAATGATTAAATTTATACACCCTACTGATGGACCAACCTTACTTTTGTCCATCATACTTAGTGTCTATTTTATGTTTTCTATTAGACAGCAAGTCTGAGAAAATAATAATAAACAATTTTAAGATCTTACCTGCCTGAGTCGCTGTCACTGTCGGATGAAGCTGAGGAAGACGATGAGGACGAGCGGCGTTTGGTTGATTTGTCTGACTTTATTGATTTTTCACTTTCAGATCCACTGTCGTCTGAGCTGAACACATCAGATGCCTACAATATAATACTCTGGTAATGCTTTATAACCAACAATAACACACTGCATTAATAATGAACATCAAACTTTTCATCAAATGGCACTGAGTTCGGTGAAAGAAAACGTCATTACCTTGAGTTTGTGTTTGGATTTTCCTTCATCTGCATTAGAATCGGAGTCTACTGATCTCTCCTTTTCCTCCTTCCTTCTTCTCCTGTCCTCAGCTTCCTTTTCTTTTTTTTGTCTTTCTTCTTCTGCTACGGTAAATATTTGAGAATAAATAAATTAGTTCGGGGGAAATGATCTCGTTAAAACATGATGCAGTGAAGTATGATTGCAACAGGTAAGAAAACACAAATGATAAATATAGACCATTGATGTGAATATAAAATATAAGACAATTATCAATTAGGTCCTACTATATACTTCATTCATTTACAGTATTACCCCGCTTTACACATTTACGTGGTACCTTGCCAGAACCGGACTTTCACTTTCCGCGGTGCATCTACTCATAAACACGGTGAAGTATAATTTTTTTTTATTTAGCTCATAAAATGCATACAAATTACCCTGCCAGAATATAATTTACATTGCTGGAATTCTTACAATATGATGATCATTTTGAATATAAACATCATGGATTTTGCATTAGACTTACAAATTTTAGATCTAATGTAATAATTTGGTTTACACAAAGCAAATATTTTATCGTTTGTGCAAAATATATGAAGTTTACATTCAAAATATTCCCTGACCTGCAAGGAATCCAGAAATGTCAATTATATTATCCTAACTTTAGTCTGAGGTATTATTTATTACTAAAAGTTAAAATCTAGTTTTTTCACCCAAACATTTCTCTGGTAGGGAGGGAAGGTGGGGGTGGGGGGGGAGGGTTGGGACCGACCACCCAGCTGGCGTGAGTGTGAGAGCGGGGAGGCAAGGTGGGGTACTTTGATTGACAGATAGTGTCGTGAAGAATATTTTGTTTTTTATTACCTGAAGATATTTGTGTTAGCTCATAAAATTCATACAAATTACTCGGTCAGAATATATTTTACATTGCTGGAATTCTTACAATATGATGATCATTTTGAATATAAACATCATGGATTTTGCATTAGACATACAAATTTTAGATCTAATGTAATAATTTGGTTTACACAAAGCAAATATTTTATCTTTTGTGCAAAATATATGAAGTTTACATTCAAAATATTCCCTGACCTGCAAGGAATCCAGAAATGTCAATTATATTATCCTAACTTTAGTCTGAGGTATTATTTATTACTAAACGTTAAAATCTAGTGGTTTCACCCAAACATTTCTCAGAGAGGTAGGAGCTAGTGAGCTGGGAAGAGGGGGGTGGGGGGATTTGAGTCCATTGTTTGAATGGACATTAACCTGGCGACTATATTTCTCTTAAATATTAATTGTGTGAGCATACCATCATAAAATTTAGATGTTATTTTTACTACAACATAGGTATTGTGTAGGAAAAAGTGGAGTTTGGGGGTCGGGCCAGTCTCTATTGGAATTAATCCCATATGTTCTGTTGTTCACTTTACGCGGTTTTCACTTTCCGCGGTACCCTGTGGGTTCAATTGACCGCGTAAATCAGGGTACTACTCTACTTAATTTCCAGGTGTGTTTTTTATCTTCTTGTTTCCTCCTTTATAAAGGTTCTGTACTAAGTGAATTAAATTCTTTCCTAATCTTAATTCCAAAGAGAGCAAAACTCCCATTTCCAAATTATATCATCCAAACTCCCTTCCCTAAATGATATGACTACATTCTTTTGTTTTATACACGTTGCTCATCCCATTCACTTTGATAGATATGCATGACAAAACATTTTCAAAATATTCTGCTGGTATGACTTCATGGTAACCAACCCAAATATAAACCAAATAAAGTGTGCCACTTTGAATAATTATAGGTTTAAATTTGGAAACAACTATTGAAGGGGAAATCCTAAATTAGTTATGTACAGGCACACTAAACAGTATACTAGGAGCCAACCTTTCAGGAACTTATTTTCACGCTTCGCTTTTAGTGCAGCAAACTTGTCATTCCTTCCAGCTCTCTCCTCTAGTGTTTTCTTTCTGTCAGTTAACACAGGCTGCTTTTTCTCCTGGAATATACAAAAATGTTAAGAAAAAGCGAAAATTATTTGTTGACACAATATTTAAAACTTACACAATTTGTAATGTACAAGTGCTTCAGAAACTGTACAGCACATTAAACTACAATAAATTATTTCTTTTATCTGTTTCTCTATATTTGATACTGTACTTTGCTGTAGAGAATGGCCATGATGGGAAAGACTGTTTGCTTCCCTAGTTAAACAAACATTCCTAACCTGATCCATTCTCCTCATGTGAGTTTTCCCTTAAGCACTCTTCCACTTTTACTTTCCAATAAGCTGGCTACCTTCTTCTATTCGATACATATGATCTCACCTTGAACACGCTATCAACCACCATCCTTTCCTAATACCCAAACTATATCAATGTATTTCTCCTGACCCACTTAATGACCCTCATACAGTATCCCATATCTATGGCTTCAGCCATATCCAATACCTGTACTGTACTGTACTTCATTATTCCTCATCCCCTGAATTTACTAACACCACATGCCAAACTAAATAATTTATTTTAGCAGGCTGAATTCTAGCTGTGAAGATTCCAGTCAACTGAACAAGGGTAAAATACAGTCGTTTAAACTAGTAAAGCCTGCTATGCAATGATGAACAAAGTACTATACAGAGAACCCTCACTTTACGCGGTCAATTGAACCCACGGCGGCCCGCGTAAAGTGAGAAACGAGTAAAGTGAACAATATAACATATGGGATAAATTGAAATAGAGACCGGGCCGACCCCCAAACTCCACTTTTTCAGACACAATACCTACGTTGTAGTCAAAATAACTTCTTAATTTTATGATGGTATAACCACACAATTAATAATTAAGAGAAATATCAATAATATTAGGTTTTTTAACACTTACATTAGTAGAAAAGATGGCTGGGCACACGGGGATGGGGGGTTGGTTCCGAGGCAGAGGGCAGATTATTGGCCCTCACCTGTATCACTTGTATCAATTGTATCACTATCCACCATAGAGGCTTGCAGGGCCTCTTTGTCAAACCCCTCAAAGTCCATATAAGTCCATATCCTCACTATCATTATCACTATCACTGACTTGGGCCGGCTGTGGTGGGTGGCGGGTGAAGAACTCGGTAATGTTTTGATGACTGGGCGACCTTGTGCGCACCCTGCTCGCGCCGCTCTCCGCGTAAAAGGGTACACGCACCGCGGAAAGTGAGCATTCCGTGTTCGGCAGGGTACCGCGTAAACGTGGAAACGCGTAAAGTGGGACCGCGTAACGCGAGGGTTGACTGTACATACACAGTTACATAATTTCACACTAGCTTTGCACAATGGAATTCTTCTGTTGAATAATTCAATGCAGTGCAACTTATCTATCCCTTACTCTATTGATACTTTACTTCCAAAGTTCCAACCCACATTTTCACCCAAACTACTGTGATAAAAGACAAATGCATAACACTGGCATTTGAAGGTTTGATCCTGAAAACCCATAGTATCAACAAGCCAGAGAGGAATGATTTGTGCATAAAGCCTAC